TTTAAATTGAATTTAGTAGTTTTCTTTTCTGTATTTTGTGTATGTGGTATTATGACCTCCCCCTTTTTTCAGTTTGGTCAACACACTTCCTCCTGTTCCTAGGGCAGTTGGCTATCAACCCGTAGATCGGCGATATTGCCTATCTTACGTCCAGGTGTTTTATTGGGTTGGACCCGCAGAACATTCCACCCACAGATACTGGCAATTGGTTAGTAAAGAAAGAAGTGGCGTAAAATACATGATTTAATTCTGTATTACAATGAATTAACTAATATCAAATTCTTGTTTTATTTTACAGTCTTGGAACATTGATTTGGTTCAATTCTGGGTGCCAGGGCTACCTATGAAGGTGAGGGCGGCAGTTTTACCGAGGATTGATAATTCCCCTGACGAGTCGCGTGTGGAATTTAGACCCGATTCACCACCTGAAGAAGAATGGTGAATCAATCGGCAAAAAGAGGCACATTGTTACATCTCGAGCTGCGGCTTGGTTTTTAAACAAATAATTAATTTATTTACTTGGGAGGGTTGTGCTGATTAATCAGGATGGTAAGACCTGATATTTTTATTTTGTAGGATCGTTGTCACTTTATAAAGACTATGGGTCTTGCGTTAATAAAAGACAAATATTCCCTTTTATAATAGTTTATTATAATTATGATTTAATAAAGTAAGTTACATGTATGATTACTTACTTTTACGAGGAAGATTCGTATTTCAATGAAGTCGCTGAGCTGTTATACAAGAGCTCGGAATTTGCTTTAAGTGAATGAAGATACAGTTTGTCGGCTAACATTTGTGTGACACTCAAACAACTTTAATGTTTTTGATAATAAAGCGTACTATTTCGTGTTATAATTCGTTGTATTACGTCACTTACACCTGCATAAGAAGGAAATCTATTCTGTATGTGAAAGAGAAGCAATTTGTGAATTATAATCAAGAATCTGCTTTATTTGTAAGAATACGACAGTTAAATCTACAGGAAAGAATAGATTAACTTTCACGAAATAAACTGAAGGGTCGCTCAACAATGATATTAACCACGGAGATTACACCGGAACTTTTGACATCTTCTCTTAATTTGCAATGGGTTTATTACTAGTCAATTCATTACTTTGTTGGGGATGATTTAGAAAAAGAGCACGATTTTTGCTAAAACGTTTAAGAGCACGTTTTTAGCTAAAACGTTTAAGAGCACGTACGAATTTTCTAGGAATCGTATGTGTCTTTTATTTCATAGTAATTGAGCGACATTCAATTCATTTGGTATCGATATTGTTCATTGATATTAGATTGTTAATCCATAACTATTTAAACAATTTATGCATTTAATCAGTGTTTCTGTTTGTTTTTATTTTGTGTATTTAAGAATAACTACATGCATATTGTAGCGATGTTTCTTCTGCCTTGGTACTTTTTCTTACCACAACGCTACAAAAATGGTTATGTAACCGATTTACGAGTCCCACACTTTGGTCTCGTAAAATACCAGCGATGACCCGTTTTAGGGAACTTCCCCGGCGCCAGGTAGGTAAACTACCCGGGTCACGATGGCTTTATAAAATGAGAACTCTCCCGGTCTAGCTCAAAACCGAGCTCACTATTCTATTTTCACTTGACGGTAGGGTCGTAAGTACCGCACGCAGAGGAGAGAGATGGGTAATCCTGAGATTCTAATACAAATAATAAAACAAATCACTAATTTTATTTACACAAAACCATCACTGAATTTATTAAATAAGTGGTACAGAAGCGGAGAACGAGAGAACTTCCACACGCCGGTGAGTATTCAGCGTCGACCAAAAATGGCGGCGTCCTGTCAACATGCCATGCGGTCCTTGACGAAAGAACTTGAAAGCGGTTACACGGTACACCGGTTTCGCTATAATAATGACGAGGAGAGGATGTCCTGAACACTAACCTTTTGCCTGTTGCAATAAGGCACGGTAATCCATTGCTCTGGTCAAAAATATTGGATTGGACTGTCGCGGTGATACCGTGAAATTATCTCGGCGGGCAGGCACGAACTGGAGAAATTAGTTTAATTGGCGTCCTGCTTCGGTCCCGTATATGGGTCATGCGCACTTCGGGTTCGCCCCTGCAACATGACTACAGGCCCAACATCCATGACAGGTGGTAACCAGTCAACCTTTTTGCCAATCCAATTGCCCCAGATGATAGTAGTGGTTGTTATTCCTTCTCGTTTGATCGACAATCAATCACCAATGAATAAATAAACTGGTGGTTGATATAATATAGAGTAATATCAACCTAGTCGTGTGGAATTGTCTCCGAAGATAAATGCTAACATTTTTATACAACTCAACGTTTTTTATATTTTTTTATTATATCGACTCAATACAATGTAAAGATAAAATTGGTATAATAAATGTTGAGTTCGCGTCTGGCCACACTATCTTATGTACGATAATAATAAATAATTATTTAAATACGTTTCGGCGAAATCTCTTTTTTCGGTTTTTATAACTTGATTACTCAAAATCAACGTTACAATATATATTAGTGTTATATGTATATGTGGTCATACATATGCATTGCACACGTGTTCTTTATGATGCATCATTATTTCATTATTAATTCTTTTACTTTACTATCTGTCATACCGACTTCACTATGATAATAGTTATGTCGATTATTTATCATCTCTCAAGATAATGAATGAGATGGCTACATTTTCTTAAAAGAACCAGTTGATAATTTAAAACATTTAAATAATTAGGTATATGAATGTTATATTTTATAAGTGTACATTCAAATATACTCATATATACATATACACCTTATATTCAAATATATAACTACTTAATATACGTGAATCTTAAATGCAATCGGTATTGCCTATGAAAAGGGGCTATTTGAAAATACGCATAACAGTAGATTTATAATTTAAAAATGAAAATTTATATATGTCGGGATGTAACAGTCCTCCCCCCTTAGATTGTGCATCGTCCGCGATGGACTTTGAATTAAAATATTTGTTACGCGAATTTTCTAATATTGCCTTGAGAAGTAATATGATTTTCAAGAATTAAAACAGAAATTTGCTGACAGGAGAGTTTGTAGAGTGCAGATGTGCTTTACCAATCTGTGAGTGATGTTGAAGAAGGATATGTGCCAATGAGGTAAGTTGTTATTATAATAATGTCACGATTTGTCCAGCTGCCTAGATGTGTTTCCTTTAAACACTCAAAATGCTGTTTTCATCAAATTTTTGCATGATGATCTCAGGATCCATATGCATTGTCCTAAAGCCTTTTAGGATCAGTTTTTCTACAACCATGAGTGGAAACAGTTCGGTTAGTGATGTTTCAACAATTCTATACGATGTTCCTGAATCTGTCATCTCTATTAGTGATGATTCTTCTGGTAAGTACTCAGTTTGTCATGAACTTCCCTAGTGATTACATTCGTATTCACATTATATATATACATATATATTTTTAGGCTTTCTTTTCCCTTTTTTTTTACTAGTGTGTCAATTAAAATGAGTGAGAATATTGATGAAACTGATTGTTGGGAATATATTAACAATTTTAATTTAGATCCCTTTGACTTAAGTGAAAATAGTGTAGTCAACGAGATAGTTGATACTGCGAACTTGGAACTCGCTTGTGCCTCTTCGAGTGAACAACTTAGTGAAGTGACTGCATTTTGCAATTTTTCCCTTTTTGAGCCAAGTCCCATTGTTGCTAGTGTTTCACAGCATCGTCTTCTTGCTCTCAGAGTCGCTGATTTGGAGGAAAAATTAGGAATTTTTCAATTTGCGATCTGGAAAGTGCCTCTGGAAAATGGTGCTAACATTATTTCTGCCTTATGCACGTCAATTTTAGGAGTGGAGTGTCCCGTTCAGGATTTTGTGATTGTGAGAAAATTAGATGTTAAACGCAGTGGGGTGCTTGTGCGTATGCCATCGTCAGGGTTGCCAGATTTGTTGGGATGAGAACCGCGGGTAGACGGCGCTGATGTAGCCCAAAAACCGCGGTCTTATATGAAAATCCAAAACGTATATGAAAATCGATTTATAGTCTTAAATTGCAATTTTTCTAATTTTTAGTGTTTAAAATACACGATTAAAAATATCAAAATTTTTTTTTCCAATAAAGATTATTTTATTTATAAATTGTATTAACAAGGTTTACTTAAAAATGTTATAAAAAAATTTGTGACGAACTTCGTGTTACAAATTAAAAAAGCGAAGCAATATTTGCACAATGGTCAAAATTGTTTTCAAACAATTCCATTAAATTTGAAATATCTTCAATGATATATATCAATAGTGTCAATATTGTCGTTCTCTTCTGAATGCATGCATATTTTACGAAGCGGTAGAACGCCTAAAGCTTGCCATTGGGACTCTAGAATTCCACGATCAGCAGCAGGATCTGTAAAATATTAAATTTACTTGAATTTTATTAACCAAATGACCAAATTCAAAAATATATAAAATTTAAATTTATTTTTACTACCTAAATCCAGAGGCAATTGATCAAAAGCAGGTCGACCTATTCTTGCCAAAGTTAACTTTGGAGTCAAGTATTTCAATTTTTCAATGACTTCAAGATTTTCAGGCGTCCTTTCCAGAAGCTGACGACAAAGAGTCAATAAATAATTGCCACAGTTCATCCTCACATTGCTCAATGAATTTTGAGAAATTTCAAGTCTCCTAGCAAGCTGATTAAAATTCTCTCCAAAAGTTACTTGCTCGATAGGTATAAAATTATCAACATGTTTAAAAGCATTCTTTAACATCGTTACTTCATCTATCCTTAGAACTCCTGGCCTGTATGTGTCTGCAATCGCTCTTTCTTTCAGAACACGTTTGGCCATGTTGAACACAAGGTTACGAAGATCGCTGTGGAGTTTTGTGATGTCCGCATTTGTATGCTCAAAAGCTAGATTCAGCGTGTTGACTTCTTTTAACGTTGTCTTCAAAAAAGTCAAGTATAAAATATTGGAATTATCCTGATAAAAATTTGCTAAAGTGCTCGCTTAAAATCCTGAGGCTGAGATGCTGTTGTTTGCACGAAAAAATCACGAAGATCGTCCCATTGATCTAAGACGACAGATGAAACAGGTAGCCATATAAGCCAGCGCGTTTTTGACAGGCTTTGCAATTTTGCAGGAGACTTTCCATCATGTCTTTCCTAAAAATTTAATGAAACTGAATATTGGAATATAAAATAAAGCATACTTAAAAAAAAATTTTTTATAAATACGTAAATATTTAAAAAAAATATTTTTATTAAATATTAAATAATTTAAAGAATTAAATTTTTGAATATTAAAAATTAAAATTAATGTTATTACGTTATTAAAATTTCATTTTTACTATTTTTGTAATTTATAAATACTTGCGAATGTTTAAAAAAATTATTTACCTTAAAAAATTCATCATATTCTCCGTGTCGTTTTGAACTAAGAGAAAACCAGTCATAGGTTTCTGTGAGAATAAATTCAAGGTGATTGGGGACAGTTTTGTTAGCATATTTGGAACAATTGTCAAGACTGTGACAAACGCATCGAATTAATTGCAAATGCGTAAGTTCTCTTTTCAAACAAGCATAGAAAGTGTTGCACATATTGGTGGCACTATCGGTGCCAATTGCATACAGTTGAGAGAAAGGCAGTCCAATTAAAGAAAGATACTTCTTTAGAGCATTGGCCAGATTTTCGCTAGTGCAACTGACAACCTTGATGATTCCCAGATAATCGGTGACCATTTTCTTATGGTTCAAACTGAAATAACGGACGCATACACCCATAAATTTCGTTACCGAAACATCCGTCGATTCGTCGACTATTAGAGCGTATGGACAATCTCCGATGTCACTGATGAGTTCTTGTAATTGCACTGGGGAAATCACATTAGCCAACAACGTTGAACATTTTGTTCGATGAAGCCTAAGGTTTTCCAGCTGCGGGGATCCTTTTGCGATTAGTTTTAGCATTTCGCAAAGATGGTCAACACCTCTGACGGCACAATGCAGCGCGACGAAGACAGACAATTTTATTTCTAAAATTTTGTCTTTATCTTCAATGACAACGTCTATATAAAGCACGAAAATTGTATAAGGGGTCACAACTTTTTTAAATTGAATGAAGTCGAAAATGAACAAAAATATTAAAAACTTAAAAAAAGTTGAGCAAAATTTTATAACGTAAAATATGAATAAAATAAATTTGGAAATGTTTTGTAAAATTTATATTATTAAATTTAATTTTAGCAACCCTCATTAATATAACGAATAATAAATTCAAAATCTTTAAAATTTATCTCTTATTTAAAAATTATAATATACTTACTGTAATTGTGCAAACGTTTCTGTTGTTTCCTGTTAAGCGCCTTCTCTCGCTCCACGTGTTTTACACGTTTCGAGTGCGCAATCAAATCGCCGTGATGAGCACGAATGTGGCAATTGCACAATTTACAAAATGCTTCTGGTTTCCCATTTGCTATGTCCTCTTCAGACGAAGCAGTAAGCCAACCTGAAAATTCAAATAGATTTTTGCCATTATTTTGATTTATATATATATATATGATTGCAGTAAAACACAAAGACAAAACGATTTCAAATTTTTAGGTTAAGTTTTGACTTCTTACCTTTGAGTTCTTCTTCGGATTCCCATTTAGCATTATAATGCTTTAAATATTTACCCCACTTTCCCATTACCCTTAATAATTTAAATATTTTACTTTCGCGCTACGAACAAAATTCTCTGAAAAAACAACTTAGAAGCAAGTTCCAATTGCTAACCGCTTGTAAACCATGTGAACTTTCGAGTAACTGATCAACGGGCACATATATACAGGCAAAAAATACCAACAGTGTAGAGAGTAAAAATTAGTTCAAATTACTACCACGACATGGCGCCAACAGATATTTCTCATTCAAATAATCGGTTATACAGAAGAAAATTTTATTTTTCATTATTTTTCTTAAAAAAAGTAACATTGCAACGTTATAAAGCCCAAAAAACGTATTACTGATTAAGATATAGCCCAATCACTACTTGTAGCAAAAATGAAAAATAGGCCGCGAGAATGGCACCTGAGATAGCCCAAATCGCGGTTTGTAGCCCAATCTGGCAACCCTGACCATCGTTAGAGATGAAACAGTTAATTTTTACTTTTAGGCATTTATTCATGTTGAAAGGATATAATATAGACATTATATAAACTTGAGGTTTCGCTTTTTTTTTGAAAAGTTTCTTTTTGTGGATTGTGTTAATCTGTGATTATGTTTTCTTTTTGTTTAGATTACCAGACGACTCGTAATAATATATGCTCAAAAAGAGTGGAGAAGATTCTCTATTATTTGATAGAGATGAGGCAATTGTCCAAGGACCTGAAATTATCAAAAGGACTTCTTGGTTTTTCTCCATCCTTCGCAGTTGATAATTCTCAGGAGTCAACCAATCTGCGCCTTCGAAGGCTTCCAAATTCGTGGACTGCACAGCACGTTCCATCTGGTGTGCGTAAGGCCTTGAAATCGAGGCTACGACGTGTGGGAAAAATATTGGATTGTTTAATTGAGATGTCAACAAATAATGTAGCGGAATTTAGGAGAAATGTGTCCTTTCCGGAGCCATATTCTGATGTCGAGTGAGTATAGCGTGTACATAAATTGTGTGCATTGAAATTCTTATGTGTGTAGATTTTTGTTTTATTTTTCCTTCTCTTTTTTTTACAGAGACAGTGTATTAGGTGAAGAGGAAGTTCCGTCGATATCCGATAGTGATGACGATGAAATTGATGTCGTTAACTGAATATCTTCTGTTAGAATGTTTGTTTTGTTGTCTTTCCTGACGTCACTGGGCCATGAATTTCCGTTTTTTTTACATTATTTTTTAACAATTTTTATACAGATACGATTTAAAATTAAAATGTAAACATAATTCAAACATACGAATTAGAAAGATAAAAATTTGCAAATTTTGTTTTAGTTATTTATGAATTGTTTAATTTAAATTTATATATACATATATATATTTTTTTTTGATTTTGCGATACTCGAGGTACTTAACATATTGATATATTAATACATAAGTTTTGAAAGTTTAAATAAATTTTACTACAGTTTTAATCTACCACTTTTTTCTCATTCCTTACCTTTGTGTTTTATTAATCTTTATCATTATTTTGATAACATTGTATTTTTCAGTGTGGCATAAAGAAATTATGCATTTGAGAAAGCTGTGACAACCTTTATGCTTGGTACACATGCATAATTTTTATTATTTTTTTTTAAATTTTATAATAATTTTATTCATTCTTTTTATTCATTAGAAATTTTATTTATTTATTCCTTTATATGCATGTGTACTTACAGGTACGTATTTCATTTTGTTTACTTAATTTTTACTTTAGTGTGCTTTGCTCTATTGTAAGTTATATTGTTTTTGCAACATGTGATTTTAATTATTTGCATTAATTTGAGTAATTTCGTTACTCGTAAAAATTTTGATATTGATTTAATAATAATATTTTTAATAAATATTTTTTTTTTTTTAAATTTATATGAACGCCTTTAATCGTTATTATCATTACTAGTGACTAATCATAAAACTATTGGTTGATTTAATATATATATAATTTTTTCTTTTTTTGTATGCATTTTATTATTTTATTAATCAATGTTATATTGAAATATAATAGTAAAAACATTAACTTTATCAGTTAGATTAATCAATTTATTGATTTAAATTAATAATTTAGGATATATTTGAAAATACGTTTTATCCGAAAAGAATGCGCGCAGAGGAGGCATATATATATGTAGCGACAAGATGTCCGTCAAGTAGTACGCTCATATATATATGTCATGCGGGCGACTCGCGAGAGAAAGTATAGCGGCCATAGAAGAGAAGGCGGTAGCCCAGGCGCCTGGCTGTTGGAGAGGAGGCGTGGGCCTGACCACGCCTCACAGATCACCTCCGTTCTCTCATGCTCGCCTAGTAGCCAGAGCTCGCTACGAGGTCTTTTGCGCTCAATTATTATTAACAATAATAATAATATTCAAGTCAAAACACCTTGTATACTGTTAGTTAGATTTGGTTGGTTGAAAATTAAAATTACTAATGATTATTATTTAGGTATTGTTGATTTAGTTGTAAAGTATTGTTAGTTAACATTAATTATAAGGTTATTATTATTATGATTATATAACTATGAATAGAAGATTAATTAATTTATATGATGTGTAAGTATAGAATAAAATGCATATGTGTGCGTATATACACGTATATTTGTTTTATTTTATTATTATTATTTTTTTTTATTCGAATTCTTTTAATTGTTAATTAAAATTAATAGTAATAGTAATAGTATTAATAAATTAATAGACTGGTATTTAATTAGTAAAATTATTATTTATTGTTATTTATTATTAATATTTATTTGTATATTGTTATTTTTATTATTATTTCTATATTTAATATTAATTAGTAATGGTGATAGTTGTTATATTTAATATATAATGTTATATTTAATTATTATATAATATTATAATTATATAATAATTATATTATTTAATATTATTAGTGATGATAATTGTTTTTATTTTATTACTTTAACTGATATACTTATTCATATGTATTGGACAAGCGTTTTTCGTTGTATTGATGTCCTTCATTTGGCGGCCATTGTTGTGTTGGTCTTGATTTTCTTAGGGTCGATATATGTGGTCGATATACAAGTTTTAAGTTGGCGCGTAGGTTTTAAAACTGTTGCCTCTTCTCTTTTCATATTTTCTTGATAGTTTAGCTTGGAAATATACTTTATTTAATGAATGTTTTTGGGGATTTTTGGGGCTGGTCCTCCCTCCATGGAACAATCATTGTCCTCAATGATCTATTTTATGGATTGTTTAAATTTGGTTGATTTCTTGATCTTTTTCTTCTCATTGTTATAATTTTATTTGTTTTTTAGGACTATTAATGATACTAATAATATTAATATCTTAAATGCCATGGATATGTAATAAGTATTATCGGTGATTATTCCAAAAAATGGAATTTCCATCTATAAAGTAGAATATTTTATGAATATTTGTTGTATATATCTTCTTTTCTTTTTTTTTTTAAATAAGGAAGAAAGAAGAAGGCGACCACGAAATCCCCTTCCTTCATTTTCCTTCGTCCTTCTTTTAAATTTATTATTGCATTTTTATTATAGTTTTATGTATACATTTCTTATAATTTAATAATTATTATAATGATTATTATAGTTTTTGCCATTCGTCGAGTTTTAACATTTATTTTTGTTATTCGTGTATTGTTCATACTTCATTGTTTTTATATATAATTGTTCATGCATTTTCTTATATTATTTAAGTGTTTGCTCTTCTTCTTATTAGTTAATAATAGTTTAAAATTATATACATCTTCATTATCCTTTATCAATTGTTGATTTTTATCCTTATTAGGTAAGTTATAGTGTGATTATCTGTAGGTAACATATGAAATTTTTGAATTTTGTTTTGAATATATTTAGATGTTTTTATTTATGGGGGTTAATTTAATTTTTCATATGTATATTGTTTTTTTTAAATTATTAATATTATTTTAATGGGAATTTCTTTATCCTTGTTGTTGTGTAGTGCGTAGGGATTATTTGTTATCTTTTTGAAATGTGCAACGGTCAGCAATTTTGCAATTGAGTCATTTGAATGCTACTAATTGAGATGGATACACGTAAGTATTTTAATTATATTTACCTTTCGTAAAAGTTTTATGTGTGAGCATTAATAATTTATGTGTAATTATATTTAAATTTATATATTATATTTTTTTTTGTTTCAGAAAATGAAAATAATGGAGGAGTGGACCGTTTGGAGGTAGCCTCCCGTTGGGGTAAGTTTTTGTTTTATATTTTGATATATGTATGCATATATGTTTTATATGTATATTTACATATATGTCCCCCCCTTTTTTTTGTTTCAGGTCCACCTTACTCAAATTTGATGATTACGGTGACAAGGGAGGGGGAGAGGCGATTCGTTTCTCCTCCCTTGAGGAATATAATTATTGTTTCGCCCAATTTTATAATAAATTTAAAAAATTTTCTATATTTCTATGTGTTTTTATTTAGTTATAAGAAAATTTAATTATATCATAGTTAATAGGCTATTTATTTATATATATTTTATTATATATATATACATACATATATATATATATATATATATTTTGTTTATTAAATGCAAGGGTTATTATTTTTTGTAGGGACTGTCATTTGCGGTTAACTTCACGTAAATGGCAGCCTTAAGCCTTCATTCTCGCCTTTAGGTATTGCGGTGATTTTGCAATACTGTTTTAAAGGTGTCTTCATATTAATATTAGGATTTATATTATGTTTTAGTTATTTATTGTATTTTAGGATTATTATATTTATAATTATTTATATTATTATTATTGATTAAGTATTTTGCCATTCGTTATGTTGATTTTCCATTATTTATTATGAAAGGAAAGAAGAAGGCAACCTCCAAATCCTCTTCCTTCTTTTCTTTCGTTTCATAATTTTTGCTTATTTTTATTTACTGATTACAATATTATTTTGATAACTTAAATATTATATGTTGATTATTATTATTATTATTATGCCTTTTTGTTTATTAACTAAATTTAAATTTATCTTAGTTTTTATGGGTTATAATTGTATTGGTAT